CCCCCCCCTCCATTTGCGAGCGCCGTAAAACACTTGTCATAAAAAAAAATGTTTTATCTGCTCTATCAAAATCGTTCGATTTTTTTCGAAAAAGTTTGACATGTGAAGCTCAACTTTTTTTACGTCGAAATTTTCCAAAGTAGGTACTGAGTAGAGAGAACTTTGTAATTCTTGGGTAGCGATTTATCTAGATCTAAATTGTGTCGTAGAGGATGTAAAACACTTACAAAGACAAAATAAATTACAACAAAAATAACAACAACATCAACAACAACAACAACAACAACAACAACAACAACAACATCAACAACAACATCAACAACAACAACAACAACAACAACAACAACATCAACATCAACATCAACATCAACAACATCAACAACAACAACATCAACAACAACAACAACAACAACAACAACCAGTGTGCGAGGAGTGAGCGCCACGTGACACAAGATCACGTGCAAAGGTGGCCTCTATTTATAGCCTCCTTGCCTCGCTCTCGACTACCGGGAAGAAAGCGCAATGACGTCACGGAGTGTTGAGAGAGGGGAAAACGCGGGAACTCACGTGGGTACTGGACGGAGGTGATAATAACCGTTGATTAGTCGCGGTGACAGGTCATAGGTCAGAGGTCAATGGGTACATGGTGAGGGAACAGAGGAATCGCGCTGTGATAAACAGGGGAACAGCGACTGTGTGAAGAGAATACCCCGTCTAATACCAAAGATCGTACACAACAAGATAGTTCACTCCTCTCTTTGAGACAATTAAAAAAGTGTCCTCAAAATCCGGTGGCGCCCTCTTTGAAAAAGTGCGGACTTTGCGAACAGAGTTACCCTACTTGTGTGAAAAACAGTAGACTGGAAACTAACAAACTGTGCTCTTCTTCTTCTTCTGGAGAAACGAAACACAGCTTCAAAACAAAGACTGCAGCGCCATCTGAACCAATGCGCGGACTTCCGCGGACACTTTTTTGACCGAGTGAACTATCTTGTTATGTACGATCTTTGCTAATACCCAGTACAGCTGGGCGAACAATGGATTCCGGAGCCGAATCCAGCAATTCGTGCTATGGAAGAAAAGTTCCAATTTCTTTTTACGTAAAAAAACAACAAATTAATAAAAACCGTTGCCAATTACTTTATTCATTAAAACCTTTTTTTTTTAGAACAATTTTTAAAATGTTGGTGCTTCGCAGTGTTCCGACATTTAGGCTATCCTAAACCTTGTGGATATTCGGAGCCAACCATGTAACCACCGGAAGTAATCACACCATTAGAAAGTTATTGGGTTCGGAGTCGATTCCTACGATTCCTAGATTTCAATCATCGGGAGCCTAACCGCTTTCCACTAAAGCCCAGTGCACACTGCCGATCGAATACAGTCGAATTCAATAGAATGGAGTCGGGGCCATTCAGATTTTCCTCCGTAGACGGAATAATACTCAATGCACACTTTCTATTGAATTCTGTCGAACTGGGTCGGGCCACCCACATTTTCCCCCATGGTTTCAATCCGGACATTGGGGATTGCCTTGTTAGTGAGACAACTTCCTGGGCCTTCGGCATATTGTGATAGGGTGGCCAGTTCCTTTCCACATCGCCTTTACTTCCCCAACTCAAAGTCAGGTACCCATTACTGCTGGGTGGGCAGGAGGGGGCGAAAAACATCCCTGTCCGAATCGAGGCTCGAACCTGGACTTTCCGCTTCGGAGACGAGCGTACTAATCGCTCCGCCACCGCCCCCTCAATAACCAGTTCACACTTTCAGTCGAATTCGGTCGAACTGGGTCGGGGCCAGCCATTTTGTCTTCCACAGAGAGGGAAAAGCTACCATCGTGACACAATTCGACCGAATTCGATTGTGACCTTGAAAATAAAACGACTTTCAATTGTTGTCAGTGAACAGGTTCTGTGTTTTTTGCTCCTTTTCCAGGATACATGGAAGAAGTCTTCTCAGCTTTGTTCTTGCTGTCCTCATAATAATATTCAGCCAGGTCTATTTTTGCTCCAGAATGCCCGGACTGGGGACATATCGTTACCCTAGAATTACAAAGCTCTACCTGACATTTTCCTGTCGTTTTGAGTTACTAAGACCATATGGTGTGAGGAACCAAATGTTCTATCTGCTCTATCGAAGTCGTAAGATAATTTAGAGTCGTTATCAAGATATTCAAAGAACTGTATTCGAAAAAGCTTGACGTGTTGTGAAACTCATAATTTTTTAACTTTGAATTTCTCAAAACTATGTACTGAGTAGATGGACCTTTGTAATTCTATGGTACCGATGTATACAGTTTTTTTGGCGCAAAAATCCTACGTTTGGAATAAGCCGGAAACACTGATCGGAGTCAACATCATGGTACGTCATCGGAGTTTGAGGTCACTTTTTAAACTGGTTGAAAGAGAGGAGTGAACCATCTTGTCACCCAGAAGCTTTGCTAGTTATCAAAATTCGAGACAAAACAACCTGCTTCGTCTAGCTGTATTCGATACTTTTATACGGGGTTAGTTCCTGGCACATGTACTTGAAGGTATCGAGTAAGCGTCCCCTCAGCCCCCGCTAATTAGTTTCAGTTTTTGTGCCCCCCCCCCTATCTTTATTCTATTCCATAGGCCTTTACCCCCCCGACTTATCACATATCACATTACGCCACTTATCACATATCACATTACGCCACTTACTCACCTTCAGATCATCAAAGTCGAGCGGAAACTTGAAATACTCGTTGAAGTAAGGATTGAGCGTCTTTCTCTTGACAGACGACTGCCGGACCCTCTCGTCCACACACGGGACCAGGGACAGCCGGATGTAGGGGTCACTGAACTGACCGGTCACGGGGTCAGGAGCCGGCAGGTCTTGGGCTGGGGGTGGGGGGGATGGGTGTGAGAGGGTGGGAGAGAACATATGAGGTGAATGGTAGAGAGGTGTGTGTATGAGGGAGGGGTGTGTGAGAGAGAACACATGTCGTGGATGGTAGAGAGGGGTATGTATGAGGGAGGGGGGAGTGAGAGGTGAGACAGAACACATCTGGTAAATTGTAGAGATGTGTACGTATGGGGGAGGAGGTGATTAGTTTAAATAAGAGATTTACGGCACTTGCAACACAATTATGTCAGCCAAAAGGCGACGATTAGATGTGTTACTAGAGATTAACATACAAAGAAAAGAAGGCGGAGAGACAAAACGATGGATATTTAATTTTTTAATAGAAAAGAAGGAGAAAACCCCACCACAGCACCCACGAACGAACCACTAAAACAGCTAACGTTTGTGTGAAGTTTGTTACCTTCAATCAGATGCACCACCAGATCACAGGTCCGGAAGTCGTACTTGAGCCTGGTGTGTAGTCTGCCGTGACCACTGTCCAGCGACGACTGTTGGAGGACAATGTCCTTGCGGGGGTAGAGGTCAGGCCGGATGGCACCTGGAACAGTGAGAGAAGGGCATTGTTATTACTTAATGCTGTTAAGAACAATTAACAAGCGACAATTGCGGTTTATGGGACGTTTGACTTGACATAAGGGTTGTGAACATCTTGCTGTCAGGAGCAAAATCAGACGTCAAACGAGGCAGAGGTAAAACCGGAGATACTCGGAAATTTAAAAAAAAAATGAGAATGGATCTCACTTTTTGAAAAAAAGCAACATACCGTTACATAACAGATGTTAATTTCTACACAAGTGTGTATATAGGGGGGGGGGGGGTAAGACGAAGGTCAATTTTTCTTCATAATGATGAAGTTAAACTTTGAATTCTGTTTCTCGTAATCTGTAGTAGATTTCAGCACGTAGGCAAATCTAAAGACCAAACTTCCCCGGGAAGGAGACAGAAGGATATCAGGTATACATGTACATTCTACAGCTGTGCCTGGGCGATGGACATAGAGGAAGTAAACTGCCCAAGTACTAAGTACTACTCCCCTCTATTCAGATTTTTTAGTTAGTTTTAGTAGAGGTTCTACGGCACTCGCAACTGCATAAGGTCATATGAGCGCCAGAAGATTAGAGGTGTTACAAGAGAGTAACAAACATAAAAAGAGGAAGGGGAGATAAGGACGATAGATGTTTGATAGGAAAGAAGGAGCAAACCACACCAGAGCACCCGCCAACCACCCACCTTCAGATTTTGATCTCCTTGATATGCTACAGAGGACACATATGGTCAGTATGTTTGGAGTCATGGACTGTGTAAGGGTGTGTCAGGTAGTAGGACAGACGAGACGGGAAAACAGAAGTAGAAGCAACAGACAGCACCAAAGCATCAAACCGTCCGGTCTCTCAGCTCCCCCCGCCCCCACC